ATAAAAAAATTTGTTCACCCTTCTTTTTTTCGTTTTATGATGAGACTATTTTTAATATTAAGATATAAAAAATAAAAATAATACTAAAAAATTCAAGTATAGAGAAAAGTATGGAAGAAAGTTTCCCATCAAACCAAACGCACCGTGCAGACCACATAGTTTCCTGAGGTTGGTTGAGTCTGTGAGGCCTTTTCTTGCAGACGCTTGCGCAGAAAATTCTTGCTTTGACCTCAATCATATGTTTGTTTTTAATTCTTGTTGATCTGTCTGTTTTATTCCTTGCTGTCAATTTCCAATTTCTGATTGAGTGGGACCATCACTAAATTTTTGTGTTTTAGTTTTTTGCTTGTTCCATCGGACCACTACCAAGTAAAATTTATTAAAATAGAAAAGTATTTTATAATTTAAATGATTATAAATTATAAAATATAAATTTTTTATTAAATAATTTTTATTTTTTATTCTCTATTTTAAAATATGGCTATTAAAAAAGTTACATAAACATTAATATAAAAAAGTTAATTAATAGCTTTAATTAGAAGAATAGAAAAGACTTAAACTTTCCAAATTACTTTTTTTTCTAATTAAATTTACAATATACCCTATTTTAAGTAATAATCTCTTTATATTTAGTAATTAAGTGGAGATAAAGCTGGAAAAGAAGAATTAATGATTCACTAATTTTCTCATAATGTCAAATAATTTGAAATAAAATTTCTTCTCTAAAGTGTCATTTATTCAAAATAGAGGGAATAGTAAGTTATGTACAATATAATGTAATGTGCCATTGTATTTTAACATTGCCCATACAATAATAATTTCCTTTCCAATAATAATTTGCAGGGTACTGTGCATATAAGGGAGGGTAGGAAAGATAAATGGAAGTGGATACATGATGGGGAACGAATTTATGTTGTTAAGAAGGTTTATGTCTTTTTAGGTCCATGTGTGGGAATTCTTGATGAACAGGAGTACAAGTTGATATGGTGCAAACTTATTCCTTCAAAAGTTAGTTTTTTGGTTGGAGACTATGCTTAGATAGGCTTGCTACAAAAGATAATTTACAAAGAAGGGGGCTGATTTTGCTAGGGGAGGAGTTGCTATGTGGTTTATGCAATGAGCGTGTAGAGGAGAATAGCCATTTATTTTGTACATGTAGAGAATCATGTACAGTATGGGTGATGGTGTTAAAGTGGAGGGGTTTGGAGGGAAGGTTGCCAAATATTGTGAGGGAAGTGGCTGAGATGTTTATGTTTGGATTAGGAAGGAATATAGGAAGTGAAATGGGTTCCGAAATTTTTATTGGTATCTTGGTACCTTTGGTTTTGGAGGAACAACATAGTCTTTCAAAATGAGAAGAATTTTGGGCAGTAGGTGCTGGATGCAGTGCAAGACAAATCATTTGTTTGGATTAAACATGGGGTGCATGGATTTGTTCTTTTCCTTTTACGATTGGCAATCTAATCCAATTGAATGTGCTTTAGCTATTAGAAGGAATAAAAGTTTTGTAAAACAGTTTTTGAACATGGTTCACGTTGAAAGGGTAATTTGAAAGGGTGAATAGCTGGTAATAGAGGTATGTTTTTTTTTCTTTTCTTTCCTTTTCTTTCTTTTTCTTTTTTTCCCCTTTTTGGGTTTGATTGGAGCCAAAGTTATTGGAATGTAGGCGTAACTAGTTCTTGTTTACAATGGATTTAATTATGGGTAGAAGTACCGCTTGTACTCTATTTTTTAATAAAATTTATTTGTGCTAATAAAAAAAGATTAAATATGAATTGCATGTGCTATGTTAAGGTGTGTTGTGGTAAGATAAGTTAGACTATCAACTAATTGTTGATAATGAGTAGGATTAGCATAAGTGGAGAGCTATCCATGGGTGTAAGCTTAATATTAGGTTCAAGAGGTTTAGAAACACTCTTGCTATCATTGAGTTCAGCTTTAGAAGCAAGATCAAAGACATACTTGAGAAAGAAGGTAGCCATTATCTGAAAAAGTGACTTCAACTCTATAAAATAACTCAGACAACTAGGATCTTTCATCACAAATTTCTTATTGGGAGACCATTTTAGCCCATCAATAACTACGATATCGTCTCCAATCATAATCGTGCCATCAACATGAAGAAGTAAAAGAATCATACCTTGAGTAGTTTTACAAATGAATAAAGCTTGTATCTTATAGACTGAAAGTAAAATCAAACTCACTTACAGTAGCACTAAACTTTCCATACCAGGTCTAAGGGGATTGCTTCAAACCGTATAATGCATGTCTCAATTGACATTCCTTGTTTGGAGGATGATTAAGTTTAAGAGGTGGTTTCATATAAACTTATTCTTTAAGATCACCATTAAGAAAAGCATTTTTCGCATCCATCTAAAATAATTTTCATCTTCGTATAGCAGCAATAGCAAGCAAATTGTCACGCCCCAGAATCCAAATCCGAGGCGCGACAGACGTCATGCACTCGTGAGAGGGTCCCACAAATGCACAAGGCTCGAAACTTATCATACCACAATCTGATACCATCAAAATCTGAAGATCAAATTTTATAATTTGCTCTAATATCATAAATCTCCAATACACTCTAGTTTACAAGATCATGATTTATTCTAAAATCTATATCAATTTACAAAATGGCTAGCCTTCTAACTCGTCACTTTCCGTGGTTTCCTCGTTCTCAGTTTCGCTTCCTGAAATGGTGGACAAGGAAAACTATGAGATAAACTCAATAAGTAAATATGGAGTGCCCTTAATTAAACGTATAACATGCCAACAAGTGTAATCACGAAAAACGAATACAAGTACGGGAATGAAATAGACGTCTCCTCTATAGGTCACGGCCAGTGTTATAAACCTCCCACTGGCAGACACACTATTTGCTGGTGTATAACCCCCACTAGCAGGGTTGAACGAACCGCCTCTTTCACTAACATGTCGACATGTGCTAGCGTTTATAAACTCCCCCACTAGCAGGGTCACTAATAACATGACCACATCGGAGACAAAACAGGCAGAAATTAACAGAAAAACCATAATTCACCAATCACATTCAGATCATCGGGACAATCAATTAAATTTCAAGTAGGCATGCTCAATTTAATAAAAAGCATAAAAATTCCACTTCAAATCAGTCATGCTTGTGTAAAACGGGTTTAGTCCCGCCACCACTTCAAAACAAATCAAAACATGCTTTTAAAAACTATACGGGCATTACCATAACTTTACTTACTTCAAATCGCATAAAACGAGCACTCAAACTCAGTGCTAACTGACAGAACGATCGAGAACCTAATCAAAATATCCAAGAATTAATTCCGCACTACCACAAATTCAAACTGAAATCATCATGACTATCCCCTAATCACGATGTTATTCCTATCAATCTCCACATGATCAAATATCTCCAAATTTATTTTTATATCACAAACTAATAATTTAAATCCCGGTTAATTGTTGGCCATCAATGCATGAATAGTGACTGATGAACAGTACCCATGAACAGTGCCATAAACAGTAACTACAACTTCCAAAATTGGCCAAAACACTAGCTAATTCATGGGATTTTCTCCAAAAATCACAACAATCTAAATCAAGCTAATTTACACTTAAACCAAGCTTAAAACATGTTCAAAGGCTACCGGAATTTCCCCCATTTTTCTGTCAAATTCGGACAACACAAGGGCAGCCAATCCATGGACAAAATTCAACAATTAAAGGATAATTTAGGGCTTAAAGAAGTGGCCATCATACCAGAATTTGCAAGCAAAGAAACCGGAGCTGCAGATTGGGGGAAGGCCGGCGACATGGAAGAAGAAAGCTCACGGGCTCACGGGAAATCTATCAAAATTCTGGAGAAACAACATATTTAACATGAACCCAAGCTAATTTAAGGCTAAAACAAAGG